AGAGGTTTTTTTAATGAACGTTAACTGAGATATGGGCTTTTAAAGAGCATGGTGAAATTTGCCAAAAAAAGCTTAAAATCAAAATAACTCGAAAACAAAAAATGCTAGGTACCAACAACTTTTATCAAAGTCAACATATTTTTTTATGTATAATTGAAAGGTGTAATAAAAACTATAGCATTCCATTTAAAATAACGAAGTTGTGGTCTACTTCCGGTAGACCGGAAGGGGTGGCCATCTTGAAAATATTTTAGATCGAAAGTTTAGAATGAACAACCCATGCTACCAAAATTTCAAACCACTACGAATAGTGGAACCTTAAAAAGTTCTAACGAACCAGTTACGTGAGACACCCTGTATACTAAAAATAAGTTATTTTTAGTATCACACATCGTTATAGAAAAGTGAATTGACGCTAATATGATGTAGTCACCACTTCGTCGTCTTATTATTCCAACTCCGTTTCGTTAAATCATACAAATTGTATACAGAATACAGTATATTTTACGTAAAAGTTATTGAAATGAATATTATTTTATTTATTCGAATACTTAGGCATCATAAGTTTTAAAGTAACTAAATAAAACGCTAAAATTTAGGTAAAGTTTTAATGAAAACCTTAAAGTTGGAGATACAGAGTTAATAATATTTGGTTTTAATTTCGAGAGATATATTTTTAATTCACCTTAATTCCAAACATTTACACGATTTCTTTGATTAATCAACGTTTGTGAAACAGCACTAAACTCACTTTTAACTAAATATAAAGTTGTAACTTTATTATAACCTTATATACAGGGTGATTTATATCAAACTTTGACATATGATAGCTAATCCAATTACCAAAAAAAAATTTTATGAACATATTTCAATTATTTACGAAATTATAACACTTTAAAGTTTTAATTTTTATATCATAATTAATTGCTACATTTTTTTTTAAATTAATATTACAAATATTGTTCAAAAGTCCTGCTAGAATACATGCTTCACAACTACGAATGAAAGAGTCAAAGTTTGATGGTGAGCTAATAAATCAGCAACAAAACTTTCTAGTTCTAGGTCTAGTGTTAGTTCTAGTTTGAATTATTATTCAGCGCTGACGCGTCAGCGCTGAATAAGCGGTAAAATGTGAACGAAAATCAAATTTTCGAAATTTTTTTNTAAAGAGTCAAAGTTTGATGGTGAGCTAATAAATCAGCAACAAAACTTTCTAGTTCTAGGTCTAGTGTTAGTTCTAGTTTGAATTATTATTCAGCGCTGACGCACAGTGGTCCACAAGCGGTAAAATGTGAACGAAAATCAAATTTTCGAAATTTTTTTTTTCGTTTTTTTACATGTTACATGTACTTTAGGTCCTAATAGACTGAGAGGTGAAAGGAATAAAGTCTTATGTACTTTCTAGTGCCAACTGTAAATATCATAAAATGCTACAACTTTAGATGAAGAAAATATATTGTGTTCCACTTTTTCAAGACAATGCGTTGTTGCTATCTTGAACAGTATAGAAAGGTCTTCATTTGGCACTTTTCTAATTTTTAAAATATTATTGCAGAAATACGTAATAAGCACTTCTTTTAAAGCTAATTAACACCTACTTGAAGTTACAACCAAATGTTTTAACATAACATATATATCTGGCAGAAGACGCAAGAAGAACTTTTGTCGCTAGAATATTCTTATTGTTTGAGATGTGCTCTATATAACATGATAACCACATCTTGCTTTAACTTGCTCCTTACCAAGATATTAGCGATCAAAGATGATCAGTGCCTGAGTGTGTTATTTGACTGTTTTCATATAAAATGCTTATATTCTTTTTCTTAAAAGATAAATCTCGTATATTTGGTGTAAACCCGCATAACAATAATAGAATACCAGACTTAAAGTTTCGGGCATATTTAACAACCGGAAGTGGTTGTTAGATACAGTGCGGCAAAAAACTGGAACACTTGAAATATCTACTTTTTTAATAAGTACGAAGGTTTTCACGGCCGGAGTTAATTGAACTAAAATTAGAACTAAAACTAGTACTAACTCTTAACTAACTAAACTGGTTCGAAGTATTTCTGAAGAAGGTTGCAACATGGCATCCGAAACGTCAAACCTTTTCTTAGAAGACGCACGACAAAACCCGAAACTTTCTAGTGTTAGTTGATGAACGGTAAGGCTAGAAGGTTTTAAGTTTGATTTGTCTGTTCTCCATGCATACATTGGGTTTTTTGTGTGTCTGCTTCACATTTCATATAGATTAAAAATTAGAACTTGCAAGGTGACTGGTTCATACTAAATTATCATCAGAGGTTTCATTAAACAGTGGGTACAATATTAATTGCAATGAATTTGATAAATACTGTTTCAAAACTGCCGAAAAGTACGTCCATTTTATGGTTGGTACTATATGCCAACCAGCGTTCATAAAATTTTGATACATGGATCTGCAGTCATTAAAGAACCTCTACTACCAAAAAAATCTGAAAATTTAGAGAGAGCCACACAAGGAAATGTAGTAGACTGGATACGAATGAAGATCTATTTAAAAGACTGCTACTCAGCTCAGATCCATTTATAAGTAATTTTCAACAGCACATTTCTAGAAAACATAAAAAGATGAGTATGGAGACTAAAAGATTACTTATAATAGACAATGTAGAAGACCAGGAAGAAGAAAAAGATCGCGAAGAAGAAGATGAATATGACGAAGAACAAGAATCAGAACAAGAGCTATATAAGGCAGGATGCAACGAAGATGAAGATGACGAAGAATGGTCTGAAACAGAACAAGAAGAAACACACATTGTTAAGCAACGTAGATAATTTATAGAGAATTAAATTCTATTTCTGTTAGGCTAAAAAAGCATGGTGCGTTCCATTTAAAATTTTCCACTTTCTCGCCATTGAAAATGGAGAAACAATAATTCAATTTTTGACCACCCTGTATAAGATACTCCGATACAACAAATGACAATCTATTTAAGTACGAAGGCTTTCACGGCCGGTGTGAATTAAACTAAGATTGAAAATCTATTTGACAATCTATTTGACAGCATCTGAAGAATAATCGCTCGTTGTAAACAGCATGGTGAAATTTACCAAAAAAAGTTTCGGTAGACCGGAAGTGGCAGCCATCTTGAAAATATTTTAGATTGAAAGTTCCGAATGAACAAAATGCTGCCAAAATTTCAAAATTGTACGAATAGTAGAACCTGAAAAAGTTCTAACGAACCAGTTACGTGAGACACTGTGTAGTTAAAGATTTATTTATAGAAACCTTACATCGAAGTAAACTATATAACCAATTTAGTTTAAACAATTTTGTATTTAGCTATCCTTCACGATTTAATAGCGTTGTATAAAATTTTGTATTTATCCAATTCTAAGGACCTAAATTATATGAAAAAAATAGAATGTGACCTCAAGTAAATTAGTACTTCCGGTTGCCATATTTGATCCAAAAGTTCACAAAGTCTTTAGCATATAGTCCTATAGCCACATACCAAGTTTCAAAAAATTATCTCAACCCAAACTGCGTTAAAATATTTTTGTTCGGGTTTTTTCGAATTTAGACCACTGTGTGNGTCGGAAGAAGCGCAAGAAGCTAATAACAAAAAAATCCGAAAATTTAGAGAGAGCCACACAAGGAAATGTAGTAGACTGGATACGAATGAAGATCTATTTAAAAGACTGCTACTCAGCTCAGATCCATTTATAAGTAATTTTCAACAGCACATTTCTAGAAAACATAAAAAGATGAGTATGGAGACTAAAAGATTACTTATAATAGACAATGTAGAAGACCAGGAAGAAGAAAAAGATCGCGAAGAAGAAGATGAATATGACGAAGAACAAGAATCAGAACAAGAGCTATATAAGGCAGGATGCAACGAAGATGAAGATGACGAAGAATGGTCTGAAACAGAGCAAGAAGAAACACACATTGTTAAGCAACGTAGATAATTTATAGAGAATTAAATTCTATTTCTGATAGGCTAAAAAAGCATGGTGCGTTCCATTTAAAATTTTCCACTTTCTCGCCATTGAAAATGGAGAAACAATAATACTCCACATACGTGTTTTAAACAGCATGGTGAAATTTACCAAAAAAAGTTTAGAACAATTAGTTTAAACAATTTTGTATTTAGCTATCCTTCACGATTTAATAGCGTTGTATAAAATTTTGTATTTATCCAATTCTAAGGACCTAAATTATATGAAAAAAATAGAATGTGACCTCAAGTAAATTAGTACTTCCGGTTGCCATATTTGATCCAAAAGTTCACAAAGTCTTTAGCATATAGTCCTATAGCCACATACCAAGTTTCAAAAAATTATCTCAACCCAAACTGCGTTAAAATATTTTTGTTCGGGTTTTTTCGAATTTAGACCACTGTGTGACGTCACGAACGGGCCTTCGAGCTGTGCACTTATTCCCGGAATGTAGCACTCCTCTTAGATTCTCCCGTCCTTGGTATAAATATAAACTTACGTAGACTGAACACAACGGTCCAAATTTGTGTTCATTAAAATTATTCATATAACGGCCTTTCGGCTAAAACAAACACCCCCTTCTCCATATTAATCTGTTTTAATAGTTTTACTGTGTTAATATACAGTGTTACCTTTAAAAAATTATTGCAACCAAACAACATAATTATCTCTATTTAAAAAATTGAACATAAAAGAATCTGATTGTAATGCGTCAATATTTTTCTTCTATAACAAAAAGAATTTTTATATCTGATGAATAAAACTTGTTAGTACACCGAATCAAATTTTAAAGGATACCTTATATTTTTACAATGTTCGACAGGTCATATTTTTTTGATGCATCGCGTTGTCGAGCTGACATCAAACGTTATGATCGATAAAAGCACGAACAGGGCACCACGATAATGCTCGTACATTAATCCGATTTATGTCAGCTATAACCGCGTTTCGAAGGCTTTTTATACCAGACGATCCTGTTATTAATGCTATTATTGCTTACGCACGATTTATACACTAATTTTTACATCAAAATCAAAACCTATGTTAACAATACGTTTACTTCAGTTTGCAGAAGGCGCTATTTTTTGTAATCCGGTAGATTGACTTTAATCCGACATGGGCTATCTACAAAATCTATCCGAACTAATTGCTTGTGTATGGCTTAAATGTTCAATTGTTTGAATGGAACGGGTTTATTTTGTGGAAAATTGTATATCAAAGAAATAACATTCTATCTAAACGAGAAGTAGTAACATAAAGGTAAAAGGTTTGCTCGTTAACTCAAAGTATTGGCAAACGAATACAAGATAACGAGAAATGTGGGTTTTGAATTTCCCAAGGTTGCCGCCTGTGTTTTAGGGAAAGGTTACGACATGAGAATCTTAACTTGTATGCCTCCACTATCTGAGTTCGTTTAGAAAAGTGGTAAAAGTAGTAAACGTAAAATGTGTTTAGGTACCCACTAAAGTGGTCGAAATAAAATTTGCAAACAAATGATTTATTACTTATATTTGTTAATTTTTGCATTTTATCAATTTATCGTTGGAGTTTAATAAGCGAACTGTTATTTCATGATTGCGATGCAATTTAGTTTCCCAGTTAGACCGAAAACCGTACGAGCGAAAATCGAATTAATTAAGCTAATGGTAGTTAACGCAGCGTTTGTTCGTTTCATGCGTTATAATAGGTTCGGGATACCGCTTAGGTTACATAGAGATCATTTATTATTTTATTTATTTCGTAAATTTCTATTAACAACGTATTTTTAATGGAATTTTCTTCATTCATGATGCAAACCGCGTAAATAATCTTGCAAAAAGATATTTTAACTTAAAGTTTAATAACGTGATCGGAATTTAAATTGGACGTCAAAAAAATCACACTACCGTTACGTTAAAAATGATGAACCAAAATGTGAACGATATTTTTAGACGCTAAAATGTAAACTGGGTAATGTGTTGATGTTTATGTTGTGTGTAATTAAGTAATTTTTCATGGCTTTGTATGAAGTATTTATACTTTCAACACAATGCAGCTTCCTTTGTTTAATACAAACTAAAAAGAGGATACTTTAATTAATAATTGGTGATATTTCCACAAGAATTAATTACATTAATTAATTACAAAATTAATCGAAAATTTTATCAAAACTTCAAATTTTGTTTCTCAAAAACTAAAAGTTATTTTTCAAAATGGGTTAGTTCATTGGAAAGAGGACACTTTTATTAACACTTTAGGAAATTTTCATACTCATATTCCAAGAAATCGATTTTATACGAATTTTTAATGCTTAATCGGCGAAAATTGCAAAATTCGAATTATTGATTATTTCAAAAATTTATTTCTCAAGAACTAAAAGTGATTTTTCAAAACGGCTTTTTGCATTAAAAAGAGGATACTTTAATTAATAATTAGTGATATTTCCACAAGGATCCTTCAAGAAATTAATTTTATAGCGAATTTTGAAAATTATCGATGAAAATTGCAACATCGAAAATTTTATCAAAACTTCAAATATTGTTTTCTCAAAAACTAAAAGTTATTTATCAAAACTGGTTGGTTCATTGGAAAGAGGACACTTTTATTAACACTTTGGGAAATTTTCATACTCATATTCCAAGAACTGGATTTTATACGAATTTTTAAAATTTAATCGACGGAAATTACAAAATTCATCGAAAATTTTATCAAAACTTCAAATTTTGTTTTTTTAAAAACTAAAAGTTATTATTCAAAACGGGTTAGTTCATTGGAAAGAGGACACTCTTATTAACACTTTGGGAAATTTTCATACTCATATTCCAAGACATGGATTTTATACGAATTTTTAAAGCTTAATCAGCGAAAATTGCAAAATTCGAAAAAATTATTGATTATTTCAAAAATTTATTTCTCAAGAACTAAAAGTGACTTTTCAAAACGGCTTTTTGCATTAAAAAGAGGATACTTTAATTAATAATTAGTGATATTTCCACAAGGATCCTTCAAGAAATGAATTTTATAGCGAATTTTGAAAGTTATCGATGAAAATTGCAACATCGAAAATTTTATAAAAACTTCAGATATTGTTTTCTCAAAAACTGAAAGTTGTTTTTCAAAACGGATTGGTTCATTGGAAAGAGGATACTTTTATTAACACTTTGGAAAATCTTCATAGCCATATTCCAAGAAATGGATTTTATACGAATTTTTAAAACTTAATCGTCGAAAATTGCAAAATTGGAAAAAAATTTCGATCATTTAAAAAATTTTTTTCTTAAAAACTAAAAGCGATTTTTCAAAACGGCTTTTTGCATTAAAAAGAGGATACTTTAATTAATAATTGGTGATATTTCCAGGAGGATCCTTCCAGAAATTAATTTTATAGCGAATTTTGAAAGTTGAAGATTATTACAATGAGGTTGCTAATGACAAACCTGATATAAATAAAGTTGTATTCAATGAAAAAAGAGATACTAATTCTTGTGAATGGTGGAGTACTAAGTAATAGGTTTTTAATATCCGACTTTGGCCGGATATTAAAAACTTTTGTGGGTTACACTTCTCCATACAGATGATTACAATTAAGTAATTTCATATATTTCTTTCAGTTGGGAATTTTTCTGGCATTTCCAGCCATTTTCTTGCAATTTGTAGTTTGTCAGAGAAAATGTTTGGACATTTTCTGAAAATGCAGAATTTGATCAGACTTATATCCACCTCTCAATTTTTCGTTCATCGAGTAAATTTGGAACAATTTACAACCTCTACACCACGAAATTACAGGTTGTTTAAGCCACAATAACTTAATAGAAAACTAACTATCTGTTAGAATCGATACCCCGAAGAGTGTGGGAGTATGTAACCAATAGGCACATATCTGCTACGAGAAACAAGTTATCTAAGAAAATAGTTATATTGAAGGTAAGAAGGATGAGTTAAGAGATAAACAAATAAATCTTTTTTATTGTTATAAACTTATTTAATAAACATTTGTATAAATAAGATAGTTACAAATTAATTAGAATCAAATCAATGCATCGTAGTTCAAATCAGAACCATCCGTGCATATTGTCCCCGCAATATGTATGTTCGTGATATCCTATCTATGAACATACGTAATAAACCGTGTAGCCCCGGTGTAACCACAATTAGTTAAACGTAATTGCGGCTAACTTGCCGCATGTTCCCACTATGGTGTTCGCGATGGCATCAACAGTCTTCATTAACATACATATCAATATTCATTTAGTAATCGATAAAATAATTTGAATAATAATAAAGATGGACAGATTTAAGTAAATTTTTTAAATACATTTTTAAGAATGAATTATTGTCTTAATTGTTAAAAAACTTGTACAATGACTTGAGGTATCCTACAAATTTGGGCGTGGTGGATCGATTCCGTGGCTTCTGTACGCATCATTTCTGGACGTCTTTCCTTCTATATCTAACAGTGGGAACGTAGTGCAAACGTCAAGACCATATTTCGGATGATGCGTTCTTCTGAAAATTCAATTTATACCACGAAACCAACGAATTCAACTGTCGGGAAATATATCCGCGAAAAAAATCTTCTAGAAATCCAATTTCACATCATATTAGCAGAGAAATTTTAGATCCTCAATTATATTTACATGTTAATTATTACACGAATCGAGATATTTTATAAAGTAAGTTTTAAAGGTTATCTACATATACATGGGGAAGGTGCTACACGAATTTGCACTTTAACCCATTTCCATTTACCCTATGCTTATTATAACGTTATGCTACTATCTATTCGTTATTTTTCAACAAAAGTTTTAACGTTGGTCGTTAAGAATAATCCATCATTTACATGGTTTGACTATGAATCATATGATGAGATGGGTACAAAAGTAATTTAGAATATGTCAGTCGACATGTATGAAAACGACGGTTGGCAAACTATTTTTCATTCTTGGTTCGTGGCCAACAAACATCCTCTGGTACATTTACACA